TTGGAAAACGGCGCATTGTGAATCGCACTGCGAACATGATCTCTGAGAAGTTGGTCTTTCAAATCAACTGATGGGTACCTACAACGGTTCCCGAGATCTGTCGAGGAAGAAGGTCAAGGTGCCGTGGAAGAAGATCGTTTATATGACCGAACGGGGATCGGGGCACCAGTGCGTCAACTGAGTCAAATTTAGCATCGCATGAGTATGACAGAAACGAAAGCCTACCTTGCAAAACGCAGAGAGCTACCGCCAGAGCTCCTTTTGCAGATCGTGGAACATGCATGATGGGCACTGGGAAGGGAGTCTCATCGAAGGGAATCCGAAATGAGGGTTTTTATATGAAAAACAAGCGGTGTCCAACGCATATTGTGCAGCCCTGACTTTTGTCAAGGTGACTAGCCATTAATTCGCGCTGGACGCGGTTGGAGTGGGAAGAGGCGGTCCGTACTGCAGACTTGGGCAGCATTTCACGATGGCCATCAATTGAATATCTTGGCATTCTTGGCGAGTGTAGAATTGGTGCGCGCGACGAACGCGAGTTCAACACGCCAACTTGAAGGGGACAGAAATAAATAAGCATTGGTCCTAATATACTGTTAGGAAAGAATAGACTTGAGTCGCATTGTACTTTTTTTTTTAGTAGAGAGTGTGTGTTTCGCTTAATATCTGTGCTGAAGCAGCAATGAATTGTGATTTTAATCAAACTGATCTTTGCATACCTTTTCTCGATTGGCTGCCGTTGAGGACTCGTTAGAGTTTATCGAATGATCAACCATCTGCCATCCCTTGAACGCGTGTGTCCCCTCCGACTAACATGGGTGATTTAAAATAACTTTATCAACGGTTTTGGGCTGTGGAGCAATAGGAAATTTGGCATGCTTCGAATTCCTGCAATGAGAAGCACGACATAACAATTGACCCGAGTCACATAAGATAATATTCGCCAAAATTCGTTCCTGTCTACTGACAAACTTCGCTCCACTATGATTTACTGCAGAATGATAAATATTACTAGAGACACAATTCCGACCGCGGATCCGACTGTTGAAGACAGACGACGCGGTAACGCGCCATTCGTAAGACCCAATGTCGTCGACGGAGAAGTTGTAGTCAAATCTCCTGGCCGGATAGTTGTCAGTGGACCGTTGAGACTGGTGACTACGACGGTATTGATTGGGGTCGTCTGTGTTTGCCCTGGAGGTGCCGTCTCTGTGGTCAACGTAGGAGTAATGGGCGCCTGTGGTGTAGAGGGTGCCGTAACGGGATCGGGAGTCGGAGCTGGGGTGTTCTTAGGAGTCGCGACTGGTGTATCCTTGGGTGTCTGTACTGGCGTATCCTTCGGAGTAGCTTCCGGGGTATCCTTAGGGGGATCTGGTGTCTTTTGTGGAGGAGGATTAGGGACGGCGACGGGAGCACTAGAATACGTCTGAAGGTAGGCTAGAATAAAGGTATTAGAATAATATCCCTGTTGTTTGTTGAATAAAAAAGGGTAGTTGCGTACTGTTAACGAGCTGCTGAGCTGTATTAATTACGTCGGTAGTGGGTGACGCATTGACTGCGCAAGTGACACAGTTTTGTAGCCCTCTCGCCACTGCGCTGGTACACAAGCAGGCGACGCTGGTGCAAGACTATTGCAAAGCTAAGCTCTATCTCACACGGGGAGTACGCCAACTAGTAGATTACATTTACTGCTTCTTGAAAAACAGCACATTGAGAGTCGCACTACAAGATCAACCTCAGAATATTGTTTCAAAGAAGACTACTTTGGGGGGAAAAACACTGACAATTGTTCCTTGTCGTGGCAGAAGGATGTTTACATGGCTGAAAGAGGATCGGGGTACCAAAGCATTAACTGCATTAAGCGTCAATCTTAGACGAAGCTCGAGAAGCATTGAGGTATTCACCTTGAATAATGGAGAGACCAACGGTCAAAATGGCTCCTGAAAACACCGGGAAGTACATGTTCGACACTGGGAAGTGGGCCCTTGTCAAAGGTCTTTCAAGATAAAGCGCATTTTATATGCGAAAGCTGACTCGCGAGGTACACGAATTAATTGCCCTGTACATTGCCAAGGAAATTATCGAGGTCGAAATTGTGCTGAAAATAGATTTTGCTGTGCAAGTCCACCATTACGGCGCTTAAATTGAATGAGAAAGGTTGAAGCGCCCTGAACACTGACAAACGTTGACAGCCTCGAATCAACATGCCAGGCCCAAGGTGTCTCGGCAAAATACTCTACTGTACAGCAGATCTGGTTGAGCAGAGTTGATTTAGGCTGAATTTTGGCGTCCCTCGGGCCGCAAAAGATACAGTACATACTTATATACTCTATACTCTCAACGTATTCCGTGCACATAAATGCTTTGTGGTTGTGTATCATATTTAGCTTAGCCATTAGATGCCGGATTTACATTATTTCGAGAGTGACAGGAGCGATCAGTAGACAGACGTCGGGAACCTGGCCTTGCCCATCCCCAGTTCCGTCTCCGACTTGTCTAAGGCATCATAAGTGAATACAATAAAGGAGCCAAGAACAGGTCAAAGTCAAGTGACTTTCTCATTTATATACAAGGTTTCGGTCGCTACGTTATATATTCATAAATATACAGATATCATTACAACCGCTGCTGCAAGTATGCAGATTTTAATGCGACATCGCCCGTTGAGATTCTGTGCGGAGGAAGATCCTAAGGACGGTGTTGTCGACCTTCGCATGAATGTGGTGGGAGGCCGATTCACGACCATGCACACTTGATTTCTAGGGGCTGAAATGGTAAGCGAAGTGTTTTCGAGAAAAGGCTCGCAGGCTTTATCAAACTCTAAATCGTATGCGATGAGCAAACTTGATTTTAGCTAACAGCTTAGACTTGGATGATGGACAACGAATAACCCACCCGTTAAAGCGCCTTGAGCTGCATCGTAGACGCTGGAAGTTGATGATATTCCCAATAAACAGTTCATGCAGCTCTCCAGCTCCTGCGCATTAGAGTCCGTACACAAGCAATCACCATACACGCATGTCTATACGTATGCCCTTTATAATAAGTAGCGATAGCGAACGGAAAATACATTCGGAGTTCTACCTCAAGCGCTGTGGAAATGACGCTGCATGTTTCCGTACACTGTTAAATATTCCATTCATCAGCTTCTCGAGGAGAGTGCAGGGTGAAGAACAAACCTCTGGTGGAATTGCATCAGATATTTCTCCTCGACGCACAAGCTTCGCAGTCGCACTTGATGAGAGTATAAATAGTCCTGCAGGTATGCGTGGGTCCAGAATATCAGCATCAAATATAGAGACATCAACTTCACGACATTCATACCTCCAAATAGTGGTGTGATCAATAATGAGGCCAGAGTTGCAATAGAAGCGCTCATAATCATCCTCATCAGAAAGGTTAGCGAGACGAGGTTCTAGGGAAGAGAGGGTATGAACGACGACGACGACTCCGCTCTTTTCTCAATTTGTGGGGCATCCAGGTGGGCTCTCGACATACACGTGTTGAATGTTGGGCAAGCTCAAGTTCTGGGCAAGTGAAATATGATGAACACGTTGTTACATCATGCCTGTTTCATCGGAGGTGAAGCATCGAAGCCGATCCCCATGCACGAGGTCCGAACGCATCATAGTACAGCAAATCTTCCACACTGCCACTGCTTGCTGTAATAGCCCTATATAGCGACGTTGGTCTTGGGCCTTGGCGTGCAGTCCTGTCTGAGCGCCTATACGGAGACCTAGCCGAGGTGTTCTTGATGGCATCAATACCAACGTGGACTTTGAAAAAAAATGGCTGGAGTCGTCATCAAGCTTTGAAGCAGCGATTTGCAATATCTCTCAACTGTATACACGGTAGCCAAACTGCGTATTAAAGCAGTGCAGTGTATATCCAAAGGATTGTCGAGGGCATCCACGGTATAATGCTATCCAAGGTCGACGAAATACGACAGGCAGCTGCGAAATTGCTCGGAATTGTCGTCGAGGCCCAGATCATCCAAGGTAAAATTTGAGACTTGGATTCTACTATTTCTAAAATCACTGACAAAAGTTACGCAATCTTCATCACAAAGCGAACGAATCGAGTGGGCAAAACACTTGCGTACCTTCAACCCCATTGTGAGTGCGTACGCTATCACCGACCAGTACACCAGGTGCGCTGATAATGCAGTTGGCGCAAGTTTTGAGATTGTTAGCGCTCTGATCTGTGCATATACAGTTTTAGTTTTGAATTAGGTCATCTCGCAGACCGTCTAAAGCATCACAAAGCTATGTATACGAATAGTCAGTCATTCTTGCAGTTGCCTGAAGACATTCGGAACCAACACTATGTGTCGAAAGAAAGTCACTGAAACCAGTCGCGCACTAGAAAGAAGTGTGATTTAACGAGGATCTAATCGTTTTAGAAGAAACTTCAAGACGCACTTGGGGAGCGAGCGCATTAAAAAGGTCAAGTCCGGCTATCCCTCGATAAGTTGTCGGGAGAGAAGGAATTCGGATCCCACGGAAGATATCACTGCGAAAGAACATAAACCACGTTGGTTGTCTGGGTTGGGAATATACTCTACGTACCGAAAGAGGTGCATCCGAGCGCGACCAGAATTACAGGGCAGTGCATCTCGGATGAGTCCACCAATGTTTTATGCATATAAATTTATGAACTTTCTTGCGCAAGTTGGGAATGTTGGCTAACAATGCATGACAGACCAAAGATGAAGATACAATAGATACAATAGAATTCATTCAATACATGGGGCCAAAAGTATGTGCACCATTCATATGCTATTCGGCGAGAATAAATCACACTAAGGGTGTCCTCTATGTATGCAGGAGAACGACGATGACATCCGTGAACTTGCTCGGAATCCAGATGTTCAGTCTCCTGTAATTACTAATTTGTGCGAAAGAGACTGGAATCTAATTCTGGATGCGACTCAGCGAGTCATGCGATGCCGATTACTTCGAAAAGTTCGAATTCTATAACACCGCATGGAACAAAAAGTATGACAAGAAGGGGACTCGAACCCCTGCCACATTTCTGTGATGAGAAACCTGCTCATAAGCAGGAAGCACTTAAGCTTGAGTCACACGCCTTAACCGCTCGGCCATCTTGCCTTAAATTGTGAAGTGGTGTGCGAGGCTGGTGGCGTCTATTGTACTCCATCGTTGAAGAAAAGGTAAGAAAACCCCCTCTGACATGTGTACATTTTTTGTCCTATATATTCCTCATTTATTTTATATGGTGCAGAAGGTTGTCGTGCTCAATCGTCGCCTTTGCATTGAACCTAAGAGTTTTCGAGGATCCGGAAGCAAACTTACAGAACTCGTGAGAATTTTGGATCAATGTCATCAATCGCACACGCGTGAAGCACGCGTATGTTGAGCTTGTCATTCTACCAGCCACTTCCAGTTTGGCTCTTTTGTGCGACCCACGAACAACGCAGAAGACGACGATCAAGTCGGTATTGTGGCCTGAGGTCGGCACGTAGTCATAGTCCTTCCACGACCTTTCGTTGAAAAATTCGCCACGCTGGCATCGCCTTGAACTAGTTTTGTTTTTCAACGCTTGAAGCACCTATCTTTTTCAATCTTTCCAATCCAGAATCATCTTCTAGGATGTCATCTAACCAAAGCTTCCAACTCCCAGACCTCCTCAACATCATCAGCCCTCTGGAATTGCGCACCAACCCCAACTGCCGCTTTGCGACGGACGCCTCCGAAAAGTGGATATCCACGGAAATACGTGTTCTCTCCGAGACCGAGCGTGGTTCACTACGCGCAGCAAAAATAGGCCTCCTTGCGGGTCTCTGCTTTCCGACATGCGATGCGCCGCAGCTGCGTCTCCTCGTCGACTTTATGACGTTGGCGTTCTACTCTGCAATTACGGCGAGAGATGATCCCGAGGGTCGCGGATGGTGGGATATAGAAACGCCAAACGAGAACGTCAGTCCAGATTCCAACGCAGAGAATATAGATCCTGAAAGCGGAATCAACATCCTAGCGCGCCACGCGCTATTCAAACAGTCAGTTCTCAATTCCCATTCGCCCGGCGCGATATCTGCTATCCATACAAAAAAATTGATGTCCATTTACTTCCCCCGATTTCATCAGTGCCGTACACCCGCAGATCACGCGTCTGGCGAAGGAAGCCCCAGCAGCGTGGACGGAGCGCTTTGCTCGATCAGTGCGGTCCTTCCGTACTGCTCAGGAGCAGCTGCTCCTCCGAGATCACTCTGCTGATCCGAAAGCGACAGAGAACACTGAGAGCGTGGACAGCTATGTCGCGAGCAGGAGAGATCTGTATGGTAGCAGGGTGGTGCTGGGTATCGCCGAGCTTTTGGAGGTGGTTGATTTTCCTGGAGTTCTTGAGCCTGAGGGTTCCGCTGCTGGCGCCATGGTGCTGGCATTGGAAGAGCTGCAGCGCGCTGCGTTTGACATTATCGCTTGGTCCACGGTAACGTTTTTCCATCCTCACTAAGTCCTCGGATTGGAGGGCCATCATCTTCTTCGGCCGTCCGCCCGTTACTACCATGTCACACAGAACGCTGATACATTTCCTTCCTTGCTCCCCTACAGGACGTCGTCTCCTACACCTCCCAACGAGGCCAGAGCAGCCACCTGAATCTCCATCGCGCTAGTCCAAATCTGGTAGCGGTGCTCATGAAAGAGAAGCACCTCTCGGTACAGGGCGCAATGAACGTCTGCGGACACATGATACGGGGCGCGTTCAGCGCGTTCAGCGAGGCCGAGCAGCGCGTCTTGGAGCTCGCCGTGCATAAGCCGCGCGAGGCCTCTGTTTTTGCGCGTGTTTTTTCAAGTTTGCAGTGGTCCTCCGGCGAAGACTCGACGAATGCCGCAACGGAGGAGCAGGAAGCGGTTGTGGTCCAGACGCAGCGCTATATCCGGGCGTTGAAGGACTGCATCGTGGGCACGGTGCATTGGATATACGAGACCGAATTGTTCTTCGGGAAAAAGGGCAGCGAGATCCGGAACTTTGGATGGATTTTTGTGGATCAGGCTCCTGATAATGATATGTAGTATGTAAGTAGTACATATGTGATAAATTGTTTGGCAAGTTGCTCTGCACGAATGCCCCACCATCTGTGGATCTATCTATGTTAGGTTGCATCGTGCTTTAAGCTTTATATAGGATGATTGGTGAAGCTGAAGTTCTAAATGAAGTGATGTATGTATGTACTCTACAGTCGTGCGACCTTCTCCGTCTATCTATAAATCGTCTTCGGGCCACATTAATGCCCGATTGTATGAGTTCCTTTCCCAAATGAGCTGCGCGATTCCCTTTCGCGATAATATTGATATCATAGTGATCGTATGCCGGTTGAATATACAACGAAGAAGAAAGGAATAAGAGCAAGAAGTTGTGGAAGCCGAGTCGGAAGGGGATTGATGGCTGCGTTTCCTACCAATTTTGAGTGGAGAGTAGAGTACATGCGGAGCCGTAATTTAAGTTGTATGGTCCTCACGCCAGCGCCAGCGCCATTGCATTGGGCATCGATATAGAGATTATCATGGGGCAAGAGGGGCCTTATTATACCTCGGCAGACATCGCACGATAGATTTTTGACAGGGCCACCGTGACTGATCATCTTGACGAGAGCAAAGAAGGGTGACTTGCCATAAAGCCGTCCACGGCGCGAACACCTTGCCCTCCAACTCTTCCGTAAACTTGATCTATAATGAAAGAGCAGGGTCAACGGCAATGCTTTGAGTTTGAGCAACTACGACAATAGGCCACAAAGCCAATGGCGTAGGAAAATAACGAGAGAGAGGGAGATACATACCACGTTCGTCATGCCTGAGCTGCCGACCCAGCGATACGTGAGGTGGAGTGTGTGCAGCCCGGGAAGGTAGGCCGCGAGGAGGTCGAGGAGGGCCACGTCAAGTACATGAACTTCCAGGACAAGGCACCGCGGACCGGGTGTTTGCGCGAACGGCTCCAGCAGCAGGCGCAGGTCCTCGAGCGAGATAATGCACCCCCACACCCCGAGCCGCTCGAGATTGCGCGCGGCAGCGGCGGCGACGAGAGGGACGGGGTCCATCACCCGCTTCCCACCCGAGCCAAGGATGTTGAGCCCTAGCTGTAGTGAATACAGGTGTGCGAAATCCACCCCCGCGAACGCACGCGCGAACCACTCGTCCGTCGTCGTCACAGCTGCGCCTGCGTCCGGGCCCAGCGCGGACTGATAGCAGCAATACTGCGGCGCGAAAGCTAGCGAGGAGATGGTTCCTTTGTGCATGTTTAAGAAAGTGTTGAAGCAGGTAGGATCGACGATGTGTCGTGGATCGCATGGTGCGATGATGGCGAGTTGGACGAGGCGCGGGAAGAACCCGAGGTCGGCGTACAGCTGCGAAAAGTCGAAATGCCCGATGGACGCAATGTAGAGGCTGGTCAGCGAAGGAGCGAGGCGATTCACGAACGCCGCGAGGCGCGTCAGCAATGCACCGCTGGTCTCCCCCACAGAGCCGCTCCACGTATCGGTGCCTCTGGTGAAGTGCAGCCGGAGATCCTCCACACGTTCGAGGCATGGCAGGGCGTCGGGGGGTAGCATGTCGCAGAGATGGGCGAGCATCATTTCGAGCGAGATGGAACGCAGCGTGTGCGCGGCTTGCAGAGGCCACATCGCACTGAGCAAAGGGACGCAGAACGCGCGCTCAGCCTGCACGCCGTGTTCCCACTCGACCGCGTACTCCTCGATGTTCGGAAGTCGTGCTAGCGTGTCGAGGAAGCGGTCTGCGAGCTCGGTGTCCTCTTCCAGTGGTGCGCGTTCCGTTCTGAGACTGGGGGATTTCCTTTTAGTAAGCTCAACTCAGGGGTTTGAATGCAGCGAACCTTACCGAAACGAGTCGGGCCAGTAGCGATTGGTTAGCGAACGCTGGCGACGATAGGCTTTTCCGGACTTGAGGCAGGCGGAGCGCACGGCTTTGGGGTGGATGGTCAACGAACGCACGCGAGCAGCGACGGAGGAATCTTGCCTGCAAAAAGAAAAGGTTTTCAGCGCCGCAGCATGACAACGAAGAAGAACACCATACTCAATGCGCGATAATTTTTGGATGAGGGCGATGGGATCATCATCGTCGATAACGAGGTGGCGGTAGCGCCTGTCCGTGGCGAGATCTAAGAAGAGACGGTTGACAGAGGCAAGACGAAAAATATCGCGGTCGGGAACGTATTGGGCGATGCGAAGCCATAGCTCGGTGGGTAATTCTAGGGCCATGAGATGTTCTAGAAAGCAAGAGTCTACCACGGGTGTCGAGGTGCTCTCTGAGGTGGGTATTCCGAGGAGCAAGTTGATATATATAAAGTCCTCGCTCAGAAGGGCATTGGTCCGGTGAAGCTTAGGCTGGATGAGGAATGAGAGAGAATTTGGGCGATTGCATGAGCACACACACGCCGCGAAAATGATCAGCGAAGATGGCGTACCGTGTAGTATGAAGTTGAGCGGATGTAGCCGTCCCTGAACGATTTCTGTTGGGTTAGGTTACATAATAACTGGAACTCAGGTGACTGCATACTGATTTTTGCTCCTTCCTCCTGCTCAAAGGAATGCGCAACTTGAACGCGTTGTCTGGTGGCAGACTCTGTCCAGAGTACGCGAATGCCGCAAAGTGTTTGGTCACGTCAGCAATGAACATAACAGAGGATAGCGCACGTCGGAAGAGGGCAAAGGGTTCTATGATGATGGAGGGGGAAAGCAAGAAGGAAATGGGGGGAATCGCACTTTAAGTATGGAGCGCACAGACCATCCTATAGAATCGTTGACGTCGACTCGTAGAATATTCTCTAGATCTTGCACGGAGTACATCCCCAAGATGAGCAAAAACTCAGATTTAATCTGCGCTTCAAAGACTTGGAGGCTTGTCATGAATTTATATATAAAGCACCATCTTTTCGTGCAAGTTTCCCCTTCGTCCCTTTCTTTCTTCTTCTTCCTCCTCCTACATTGTCCTTCTCCTTCCGTGCTCCCGATACGCGTCATTCACCGTGATCGCAACGTAAAATCTTGAACATTCGTGTACTAGCCTGAAGTATGTATACTACCTCCTCTCATATTCTTCGCGTCAACCCAATACAGTCACTGTCCCAGGAAATATAT